CCAACCTTAGTGAAGATCGTCGCAGACTTTTCCCATATTACAAAAGCGCCGTCCCTGGGATTTGAACATGGGATCTTTCCATAACGTTTGGTGAGGGTGACAACTAGACCACTTCACTAAGTCGCTACACCTCCTTATATACTATTTATTGATAAGCTCAAAGTTTATTATATACTATTAAGTAAAGTATCTCTAGATTATTAGTTGCTGCAGTTTACTTTTTAAAGAAATATATATTTTCTTTGGGTACTAGTGCATCAGTATGTTCTTTTTATAGCTCCATCTTGCTTTCCTGTTGGGTTTTTAAAATTTTTAAAATTTGGTTTACTTTTTCAAAAAATTAACATTGTTTACTTTCCAAATTTAGTAGTAGCAATCATATATTTATTTGTTTATTAACAGATATAGTACTACTTTAAAAAGTGGGTCCTCAAACTTATACAGAGTAACCAAAAAAAAATTTACATTAAGGCAGAGCTTTACAATAAAGAAATATAATAAGGTTGCAATTAATATATAATTTTTTTTTTTTTATAATTCGGCAGTCTTGCCTTTACTGTTTATTAGTACTTTAAGGTATTGTGATTACAAATATATATATATATTTACAACTATCTAATTTATTACAGATAAGGCTCACCCGATTACTAACTTAGTATCTATATATAATCTGCTATATGAGATTTTACCTTCTTATCAACCGTCCTGCAACAGGCAGTTTTCAAACTCACCAGATAATTCCCAAACCTATTTTATTATACTGTATACTGTATATCCTGCTAATATACTACTGTACAATGTCTACCAGCTAACTTTTACCTCTCATTACTTATTACATTACTCCTAATTCACTTCTTGTACTATTTTCAAATTGGTGTTTCTGAAGTGGGTACTCTTGATACTTCCAGTTTGGTGTTCTCGAGATGTTACTCTAAAAGCCTAGTTCGTATTAATATATAATTTTTACAACCTAGTATAAGTTTATAATAGTATATTTTTTTCTTTTTTTGTATGTTTTTTTAGTTTATTTTTTTGTCAAATATATATTTGATTTTACTACTTCTTTATAGAAGTAGTATTCTTCTTTGTTAGCTTTATAGACTTATCTCTTTGTATTTTTTTTTATATTTTCCTGTTCCTCTTTTGTTTGTTTTTTTAAAAAATTTTTTTCTTTTTTTATTTGTTTGTTTTTTGTTTTTTTTTTATTTTCTTTTTCTTCTTGTTGTATATTTCAGTATTAATTAATACAGAAATTTTCTTGCTTTTAATAAAGAATGAATGAATGAAGGAATAGACTCTAGATAGGCTGACAGGATCCTCCAACTTACATGTAGGTTGGTGTACAAGTTGTATCTGGATATGTTTATCATAGCTAGGTAATATTAAGCTTGCAATTTTTAGATTCTTTGTTTGTTTTTTATATAATTTTTGTCTAATTAATAAAGTATTGTATTAAAGCTCTAACAAGATTGTCAAAGAGCAAAAAAAAAAAAAAAAAATTAGAATCTTTTAAACTATTATTTATTTTAAAAAAAAGTTAATTCTAAACCCTATTATAGTATATATATTAAATTGCTATCTGATTAGATATTGGTGTTTCTTATCAGTACTATATATAAATTATATATATTCTTGATCTGCTTAAAAGTCAAATAATCAAGCAAAGTTATAGGTTACATATACTGTATATTGATATGACTATAGCAAATAATTTTATTAGTATTATTATAAGTATTATATAAATTACTATAAAAGTAATTATTACAAAATCTAATATTGTATGTAATTATAAAAAATAAAAATTATAAAAAAAATTTTGAAGAAATAAATTTATATAATTATAGCATGATTGGGCTAATGTAAGTATAACTATTGCGGGAATCTACTATACTGACAAGTTCAAATTATAAATTGTGCTATAAACTAAATAATATGTGTTCTAAATCTTGTATTTTAATAAATACTGAAATATATAATGTATATATATAATAAATTATTTATGTGCAAGCCTCTAAGAGAAGTGTCATTTATCATCTAATTTTTTTAGCAGAGGGTGGGTGCCAAAACATCATTCTAATAGATCACATATATATATGTTTATGTAATTGTAATTATTTAGAAGGGGGGATTTTACTATTTACAAAAAATTATCTAATAACTCTGTTATATAAACACCAAATCTTAGAACTTTCAAGATTATAACAGATTTGACCTCTGAAAAATCCCAGGGATCAAATTCATTAAATTATAAATATTAATAATTATAAAACAACATAAAAATCGAAGAAACTAATTGTAACATGTTAACCTTATAAGAGATTTAATTTCTAATTATGTTCAATTTTAAATAGCACCATCAAAATAATCATTAACAAAACTCATCAAATACATAGAGCATTATTACTCTGATGTAAATTACACAGGTTGAATCAATGTTTCCTGTTATGTACCCGATAGTCTGCCATAGCTGTTATGTTGCTACCTCCCGATATTTTACCAATATTCTGGTGAGGTATTGGCGGATCAATCGGGTACATAACAGGTTGATTCAACCTGTGTTAATACCATGTCGAAGCCGCAGGTAAATAAGCTCGCAAAGTAATATTTTTAATATCAGATATAGGTTTCTCAGGTTAATCGAAGTTAGCCGGTTATCAGCGGGTTTATAGCCGGTTACTAATTATTTTCAACGGTTCCATTCACCGGGTAATCAGTTTAACCCGGTTCAGAACACTTGTTGTTTGCACTCATATAATGTAACAATTAATAAACTTTAATATTTACAAAATGTATTGAAGATTTAAAGTAAATAGATTTCCTTGGCTTTATACTAGGGTAGATGTAAAGTAGGTGGCATGGTAAAATTTTAGGGCATGTCTCCCGGGGCACGCCCCTCTTATCGTGTCCTGGGGCATACCCCTAGTATATAAATCGTGATTACATTCTCAAATAAGTTAGATCATGTGACAACAAACCAAACTCAGCAAGAAAAAAGCCAAGTGGAACAAGAGAGGTATGACCGTAATATAACCCACTTAGTATCGCCACTAAAATCATAAAGTTTAAATTCTTTCACTTCATCAATAATAAATATGATTAAAAACTTTTTAAAACTTTGAACTGGACATTGAATTCAAACTATATTTAGAAAATAATAAATGAATGAGTTATTTTCGATCCTGAATGACTGGTTGTTTACCTTTATAATCGTTGTTTTCATCAAACACTTTTTCAAGAGTTCTTCTAATCTCTTTTACTTCCTCACCACATCTCAAGCACTTCCAAGTATTTCCTTCTTGAATCATTTTCATCTTTATGCAGTAATAACAATATTGGTGGCCACAACTAGTTTCATATGAATTATGTAATCTTGTGGTGTTTACTGCCGTGCTTGATGATGTTGAAATAGACATTTGTTGTTCGTAGCATATAGCACATATGTGAGGTGGTAAAAAATCAAAAGTTTGTGGCTTGGAATATGAAATATGTTTCAAAATATTTTTAAGCCTTCGAAAGTTAATGAATGGCATGAGAAATAATAGAAATTCCTACAACATAATTCATTAGTGAACGGCTTCAACATACAATAAAGAAAAATCTATGACAAATAAGAGACATACAGTGAAGGCATGCCACACCAATTGCCGGTTCATGAATTCAAAGTTAACATGCCGTCTCGTCATTTGACGGGCGTATACGAAGCGCATCGAAAGAATTCGATCCACTAATGTACGATATCTAGGAAATAAATTATATTAATATATATATATCAGAATAGAGATTTCATAGTGAAATAATGGTATTTACTTTCCGTCACATAAAAAAGCTAAAAAATTAGACAAAGACAAAATTTTGTATAGATTTTCTAAATGTTGTAAAAATTTCCAGAAAATTTTACGGGCATCATTCTAAAAAAAGCATACATCCAACACTGGATTCATCAAAATATTATTTTCATCGTCCTTTAATATTAAAACAAATATAATGCAAATAAAACACACATCGTTTAGTTCACTCCATCTTTTAGCTGTCACAAACCGATTAATTCGTATCCAAATATATGGCCCACCAATTGTCATTGCGCCAAACACATATTTTTGAGGTTTAGTGAGAATCTCATCTTTCTGAGTAAATTGTACTAAAAAAAAAGAAAAAAATCGAAGTCAATGCCAGGTAAATGATTGAATATGTTAATGTATTTGACTGAGAACACACATCCACCAGAATGTCGTCTTTCATTTCGATATTTCAAATTTTGTAACTGTGCACCATATGATGCACCAGATTCATAAATCGAAAAACGGTACATTACTAATTGTAGTGCAGCAAGTATTTCTGGCTCAAAAGCTTCTCTAAATTGAGGCTAAAAGAAAGTATAAATATTATGTGTCAAATAAGTCGAATAAAAAAAAATATCGTAAAATCTAAACTTACATTAAACAAAGAAAATGTTTTCCATAATTGTTCTTTCAATATCCCAAACAGTTGCAAATCTAACAAATTAGAATCCATCTGGCTAGCGCGCATAATCCGAAATGGTGAGGAAGGAAATGTAGAACATCGTATCGCTGATAGTGAATTCTGTATATTTGCCCATTCTTTTGACCAAAAAGAAACATTTTGCCCAATTTGCCCAATTAACGGATCCATTGGTGTTAGTAAGAAATCTATTTCTATAGATTATTTATCGATTAACATAGGCATAAGTTCGTGTGATTGGCTAGTTTCTAAGATAAATATGTAGATCTACACAGTAACAATCACGTCACACTTTGATCATGCTAGTGCGTTAATCAATATCAGGTAATCATCATTCATATTTAAAGAAGGTTGAATTTCATCATGTCAAAGGTAAAATTAACACACGATGACATTGTTCTTCTAATATTGTAATAATTTAATAGCCTATACCATTTGACAAACAGGAATTTACAATTTTATATTTTGCTTCTGCTCGTGACGCTGTAAACATTTCATCTGAAATAATTTCATTTCCATCTACAAGTTCATCCTTATCGCTTCAAGATTTGACGAATCTTTTGAAGAATCGACATGAAAATCTCGGCAAAATTCTTGAAAATTCTATGTTTGCAATTAACATGCAATATGTTGACAAGGATGATGAATCAATTATGGTGAAACCCGGTGATGAAGTTGCAATAATCCCGCCCGTTTCTGGAGGTTAATTCAGCAGTAGCGAAAAAAAAAACCCCCGGTTTAATCATTATTTTTGGCCTATATGTATATCTTAATAAACACTAAGGTAGAGAGAAGTATTTTTATTAAATTAAAGTAACATAAGCCATTTTGGAATGATTAATGATACATTCGCGAAATTTGTCGTTTTCCAATATAATTATATTAGCAGTTAGCCCAATCATATTTCACGAAATGGTCCACAAAAAATTAACAAATCATAATGAAAGCCCACTATTCCGGTATACTATAGTACTGTAGTAATATGAATAAAAAGCTTTTTTTAAATATCGGCCAAAAATAAAATTTTACTTTTTTTTTTTTATTATTAATTAATAAAAAAAAAAAATAATGTTTGCTGGCTATTTATTTAATTAGTACTTACAAAGTCTAAAATTTTGCCTGTTTTTTTAAAAAAAATTTGATTGGTGCGTTCGTTATCTGATCAATCTGATCATTATTAATTCAGCTAAATACGTAGTAATCGTGTCAATTGTCACTAAACACTCAAAACCAACTTGTTTCTCTTAACGTTAAGGGTTATAACGGTTTACTGCATTCAGTTTGTGCCTTTGGACCAAATTTTTTTTCTTTGTGTTTGAAAGCCCATTACAAATTCTGATCTTTTTTTTCAATCTTTCTTGTAAATTGCTTAAATCCTTTTGCAAAAAAATAAAAAATAAAAAATAAAAAAATAAAAACAAATGATCTTAATGGATACCAAAACAACACTGTCAGAAACAGAAGAAGGTGAGATTGTTGATGATTCTGGAACTTTTGACAGTGAAGAGGATGCCGGAAACAAACGAAATATCGAAGAAGTGACCAATGGATTGGCCGCTCTATCGGGTCCAGGCCAGCCTTCACCTGAAAGTCAAGGTACCGAAGATTCGTTAAAGGATCGTAGGCTAAGTACTGGAAGCCGTGAAGGTGACTCTGCAATGGAAATAAGTAGCCGGGAGAAGGCTGGTCATAGCGAAAAGGATCGTAAACACCGAGAGGAACGTAGACATCGACATTCTAGCAAACATTCCCACAGCCATCGTCGCCATCATGACCGTGATCGTAGTCATCATGGTCACCACGGACGTCATGAATATAGTCGAAAAAATGGAGTTGAAGAAGGGGACAAACATCGTAAAGATGGTTTAGGTAACAACTTAAACTCGACCGATCATATGGTCGTCGATGACGACGAAAATCGTAGCGATGTCTCCACCAATCGTATTGAACCTTCTGCTGCCTCTTCCCGTAAATCTAAACGCAGTAGGGAAGATCTTTCTTCTGACGATGAATCTCATCACCGCTCATCCTCTCGTCGTCATTCTTCTCATAACAGTGAACGACGACACAGTGCGAGTCAAAGAAGCAAGGAATCTCGCAGCCGATACGATAGTGATCGTGATTACCGATATGGACAGAGAGAAACTCTGAGGGGTTACGAAAGGGAGGTAGGGTATAGCAGAGAAAGAAATGAAGGTCATGGTAGTGAGCGAGGTTACGATAAAGAAAGAAGTAGGCGGTATGACGACCGAGTTAATGGGTCATATTCATCGCGAAGAATTATAGAATATGAAATAGATGATACTGTTCCAAGTGGCACGATCCTCAGGTAATTATTGATTATATGTCTATATATATATATATATATATATTTTAAATTTATTTACGTTTATCATTGTTTTATTTATTAATCGATAGAGATGGTCAAAATTCTGTCTCACATTTAAAAAATGACTCAAACGTCGAAAAATCTACTACGGATGAACCTACAGATATAGTTCTTGAACCAGAAGATGATGACGAGAAGCTAATTGAAGAAAGGCGTAAACGTCGTAATGCAATATTAGAAAAATATAAAAATAAAAATAATGAAATTTCCTCAACAGGGCCAACAGCAATGGAATTGACGGTGCATAGGCAAGAAGCAACTGGTTTGTATTATTTTTATTTTTTAATTCAAATTACTTATTTAAAACTATTGTGTGTTTTAGACCATTATATTAAATTACATTTATCAGGCACTCCAATTGTAGTTTCACCGATTACACCATCAACAGCATCACCGACATCGTTCTCCTTAACTAAAGTTGAAACTTCTGTTGATGATTTTGTTCCTGGTGAAGATCAATTTTCTGCCGCAGACTACGATCCAACAAAAGATCGCATAGCGGATGATGAAAGGCGATTACATCATAAATCCGCCAAAGATTTGGAATTGCTCAAAACCAAAGATGCTCAGGAATCGGTTGTTGGACAGGATGAAAATGAAGCTGATATGTCTGCAGCAGATTATAAAGAAACTTTAAACGAAAGTAACGCAGATCATAAAATTAATAATGTGAAAGCAAGTGATGAATTTGATATGTTTGCGGATGATGACATAATTATTCCTTCACCAGAGTCAAAAAAGTCTACAAAATCAATACCTGTAAGATTTTCTTCAAATTTTTATCATTATTATATTAGTATTTTTATTATTATTTTTTATTTGTTTATTTTATTATATTTATTTATATTTATTATTTTTATTTATTTATTTATTTATTATCTTGTTTTTACCTTTATTTTTTATTTTTTATTTTTTTTTAGTAAAACTCATTATTGACATAATTTATTACTATAAATAGGATGTTAAAAACGTTCCCGTTGTTATGCATGATCATGCTGTCGGTCTTGTAGACAATTATGATGATGCTGAAGGATATTATCGTACGTTTTTTTTCTTTTAATAGTGTATTATCTGATTATATTATACTTCTCACAATTATTTCTCCGTAGGTGTTTTGTTAGGTGAAATGCTTGACAGCCGATACCATGTATATAGTCATCTTGGTAAAGGCGTCTTCAGTTCTGTCGTCAAAGCTAAAGATACAAAGGAAGGAACAGATGTAGCTATAAAAATTATTCGAAATAACGAAACAATGTATTTATCTAGCATGTTTTTTTTTTTTGTTTATATAGTATATGTTTTATTAAATGGGTTTAATTTATAGGTATCGGGCTGGTATCAAAGAATTAAACATTCTCAAAAAACTAATGCTATCTGATCCAGAAAATAAGAAGCACGTAATTCGGTTATTTAGACATTTTGAACATAAAGGGCATTTGTGCCTAGTATTTGAATCATTAAGGTAATTCATACATGTATAGTTCTTTAGCAAAAAAAAAAAAAAAAAAAATATATATATATATATATATAGTGCTAATTCACTTTATTTTACTTTGTTGTTTAATATTAGTATGAATTTAAGAGAGGTTTTGAAAAAATTTGGCAAAGACGTTGGTATAAACATCAAGGCTGTTCGTATATACGCTCAGCAGTTATTCTTATCGTTATCACTTTTAGCAAAATGCAACATACTTCACGCTGATATCAAACCTGACAATATATTGGTAGGTATTGTCGTTTTCGTCAACATTATTTAAGATAGTTATTGAAAATATGCATTTTTTAGGTGAGTGAATCAAAAAATACGCTCAAAATGTGTGATCTTGGTTCAGCTTCCGATGCGTCAGAAAATGATATCACGCCTTACCTTGTTAGTAGATTTTATAGAGCTCCCGAAATTAGTAAGTTGTGAATTTATTAATTCAGTTTATAATGCTTGCAAATAAAATTTAATAATCCACTAAAATTATTTGTAGTTATTGGGCTACCTTATGACTGTGCTTTGGATATGTGGTCGGTCGGTTGTACTTTATATGAACTTTACACTGGCAAAATTCTCTTTCCAGGGCGAAGCAACAATCAAATGCTAAAACTCATGATGGAGCTCAAGGGAAAATTTCCTAATAAGAGCCTTCGTAAGGGACAATTCACAAAACAACATTTTGATGATGATTATAATTTCTTGTATCGCGAAACGGACCGGATTAGTAATAAGGTTTATATAATTTAAATAGTATTTAATTAAACGCTCTATTTTGCGCTATTAACTTCTTTTATTATATTAGGAGGTTGTAAAGACTATTGTTATTACAAAACCAACTCGCGATTTAAAAACACGTCTTCTTTCTAAGACGTCGCATATGACAGATGAGGAGTTACGTTTATTGACGGCGTTCGTCGATTTGTTAGATAAGTGTTTAAATTTGAACCCAGAGAAACGGTTAACGGTAAAGGAAGCATTGATGCATCCGTTTGTAACCGGCAAATTATAACTTATAGTGTTAAATAATCTTTAAAAAAAAAACTCTACAACATTTACTGTTGAATTCCCACGAGTTCTATAGTGTATATATTTAGATTTTGATTTACCATTGTGAACTATTGTTTTTTCACCAATCGTATGATGTAAAAATTTTACCCACTTTTTGAAAGATCAAGTGATATTTGTAATGCGATAATTTTATAGATACTTATTCAAAGATTTTAATTGTTTATGCGTTATAATTTGAAATACGTAGCAAGAATCTAATTCAAAAAAAAAAAAAAAAAAAAAGAAAAACTGCAATAATAAAGAGGATTTAAATCTTCACAAATCATTTTTTGGGTGGAGGTTTGGACTGGGCCTTGAGAACTTTTTTAACAATCTTTTGTTCTTCAATTAAGAAAGCACGGACGATGCTATCATGTGTGTGTATCATCAATAATAAGTAAAACCCATTTCACATCAATATGAATGATGATAAATATATATGCATAAATACCGGTCTCTCACACATTTAGCACAACGACTACCGCCGTAAGCTCGTCGAACTGTCTTTTGTCGTTTAGAAATTTGTGCATATTGGCGTGGTCGGAGAGCCGGGATCTTTGAAATTATAATTATAAAAAATATGTTCCAAATATTTATACAATCAACTCTACAACTATGGAGCTGGAAACCTTGACAATCGTTTCAATTTTTTTTTATCTATACAAAGCCATCAGTAGAATTGTCTCTACATTGAGCTGAAACGGTTTAAATTGAAATAATTGTTAGGGCTTCCAGTAAAATATAAAAATGGTTAAATAGCATACTCCCGGAAGCCTACTCCCGCAATCACCACAATGAGGACCTTTAGCAGGTTTCTTTTCATATAGCCAAGTAAGCTTACCACCTATTAACGAAAGTACCATAACAACCCAATTATTATCAAGCCTAATCATATCAGAATATCCCCAACATACCAGGCGTCTTGATTACTCTGGTTCTATTTGATTTGGTATTATAACTCAAGCGGCGCCTGTATGTAAGACGTTGTGCCATTTCGAATTATATTTCTGAAATTCCATGCACAATTTTGATGAGTAAAAATATCGATTAGTAAACAATTGGTTGGACACTTTTAAAATTACCTTGATGTGGCGAGAAAAAAAAAAAAAAAAAAAAAAAAACGATAAAATTTATTTTATGTTACACGATCAAAGTTGGCGGATTTATAATTTGATTGGTTCATCTGCTCCGCTAATTCTTCATAACCTAACAAGTAAATTTTACTATATGGGGTCTTTGCCTTGAAAATGACCTTACGGTATCATGTACCGTAAGGTCATTTTCAAAGCAAAGGCCCCATATAACCTATATAACCACTAATCTCACTGAACCCAATATAAACGGACTTTAAAAATTTTTGTTGGCGAAGTAATTGCTGCGCAGAATCCGTAGTTAGTGTATTCTTATTGGTCCGCTTCTTATTGCAAATAAATTTTTGCGTTGTGCTACCGAATAAAATAAACCGCAGTTATGTACGCAGTATCTGAGATCGATTCCTAAAGTTATAAATTTCTTTGCTAACGCTAATTTTTCGAGAACTATTTATTTATTCACTTTTTTAAGCTACTAATTTATTAATAGATTGTATTATAATTCAGCGCAATGCAGCGTTTTAAGCCAGCACACGAGATTTATAATCGTTTAATGTGGGACAAGGATCAGTTTGGTGACTTCTCTATAGGATATGAAGATGTATAGATTTTTCAGATAATTTTTATTGGATTTATGTTGTCTGAGAAATATTAAAAAAAGGCATGTTTAATTTTCAGAGATTTCTTGGAATTATGGAAACAACTCGGGAAGAATTCGAGGAAGCAGAGATACCGGTAATTTTTTTTTCTATTATAAAAATGCGAAAGTAATTAAACCATTTTATAATTGTTTAATACATCGATTCTTAGTTTCATCGAATTCGTTATTTTAAAATCATCTCAAAAGGACAAATAATATGGGATAGAGAGCGCCGGTTAGATCTTATCACTCGCAATTACTCAAATCCAACTTCAGATCCTATACATGATACATCACAAATTACTATTAGTATTGATGTTCCCATTGCAAAACAACCAGTATTTTCTGCAAAATCTAAAAAGAATTATCTTAAACAGAAGCGACAAAAGCTTAGACAGAAATTATCTACTGAGGCTAGAGAACAACTCGAAGAAGACGAACGAATCGAAGCAGAACATGATCAACAATATGAAACTAGAATGCGCGAGGTTGAGGAGCGTATCAAGCGGTTTCAAGAGTTACAAACCAATGTATAGATCATTATAAAAAAAACTTTGCAATTATGGAAAATTAAACCTTTTTCCATATTCATGTAAAACCAATCCCTAAGTTAAACGATTCTAATGTAATTATATCACAAAGAAACTATAAGTTTTTTTTTTTCAATAAATAAATTAAATAATCCAATGAATCAACGCAATCTTAAGATAAATAAATGATTGAAACAGTTTTTTAAGTTGTAGAAAAAAATGATCAACAAAGAATCAAACGTTTTTTTCCTTTAGTCAATAAAAACACCAATGTAATCATATTAAATAGATTAAAAACTTATCAATCCTATGATATTTATGTCGAGTTACTTCCTGAACCACTCGCTACATTATTTCTACTTTCGTTTATATTATCATCATTTAATCTAAGACGTTCTGGGTGTGGATAATATATGTGCGGATTTTTAAGATCATTTAGTGCCTTGTGTTTTTCTTCTAAAATTTTAGCATTAGCGCGCTGAACAGTTTCTGATTCGGTCGGTTCACTTAATAATGGCTCACTTTCTTCGTCATTAGGCTGCTTACTCTTGTTATTGAAACCTAATAAACGACGGAAAAATCCGTGCTTATTCATTTCGTTAGGTTTGTCTCCCTTAACTGGAAGCCATAACCAAGGAAGTACCCCTACTAATGCTGGGGCGCCATAATTCCGCATTCCAGTATTGAGTACGCCGTTGTATAAAGTCATGGGTGGTTGACTATAATCTGTGTACAACTCTGGTTCCGCATGATAAATTTCAATATCTGACCGAATATTCATTTTTCCGCTAGTGGAAGGCATGGAAGATGAATCGTCATCAGTGCATTCCTCTGTTAAAGTCTTTAACGGAATGAAAGCAGCATTACGGGCATATGCTTCATTTACATAATAATAGAATATTGCTGTAATAACAAGAAGAGGAGTCAAACTGAGTGCCATGAATTTACATTTTCTTAAAGACAGATATCCTATCATCATGAGCTGATATATATAAAGGCCAACAATGATTCGATGGAAGATTTTTGGCCAAACAAGACCAGAAGTTTCGTAAGGATGATAATAAACTAAAAAGGTTTATAGAAATATTAAAAAAAAAAAATTGCGGAAATAATTATAATTTATGCAATCACATACCATATAATAATAAGTATTTATATGTCAAATAACCCAGGAAAAAATATATTGCACCAAAAGGGAGAATTATCGGTGTGATAGAAGAATATATAAGTACAATCACGAAAATTAGAATGACGGGTGGTAATTCTTGACCAAAATCCAGAAATGGAGGGGCACTAGCTTCAGCATATTCTCTCGGGGTTTTTGTAACGAATATACGCATAAACAAGGTAAAAGCAATCTCGCTCATTTGTAATAAATGAACTGGAAACAATCCAATTCCTTGAAGGACAACTAAGTTAATGAACAAAGGGGCTGACTTAAGGATTTAAATTAATTTTTAGTCAATGGTTAAATAAATTAGTTAATATTCATAAATTGATCAAATTGAAAAGCTTACTCCTGGTAAAGTTTTCGCAAGTTGATCTGCAATGTCTTTGGGATTTTCAAAGATATCGTCTATTAGTGCTTTTGCAAAAGGTATTTCAAATAGGGTCAAGATTAAGAAAAAAAAATATCTAATATGGGCGTAAAAATAAATGTTATAAATACATGGAATGAACTAACTTTTAGTATAAAAAAGACACGTACTTTGCAAATGTAGAGAGTTCGATTGTACTACGAGTATAAAATCCTTGAATACTAGATAGGTCTTGTAAAAAGCATATCTGAGTTATTAGATATACAGATATATAATTTATAAATTTATAAATAATGTTTAAAGACATACATGACATTAATTTGGGTGGCAATACATTATTTAATGCGGTAAGTGCAATAGGCGGAAGCGTACTTTGGATAAACCATTTCAAAAATTTGTTCTTTTTAGCCAAATTTGCCAACCATGGAAATACTTTCTCCAGAGTTGATAATCGCAATAGCGAGGCTATACGTAAAGTAGCCAAACCCCAGGAAGATACCATCAAAATAATCACAAGATTTACTATTACAGTACGAATGAGCTTTTCTCTTTCACGAATGATAAGGTTGTGCCAGTATCTAAAATACCAAATAAATAATTATAAAAATTGTGCTACGAGTAATTAATAATCAATTTATACTTGAAAATTTAAACATACACATCCCAAGGTTCAGGTGCCATTGTAGTGTGGCATTGAAATGGTTCATCATAAATGAGAACTTGCGCGGCTAGTTGCTATAAATTTGAACAGTAATAGTAAGAAACGTAATAATGTATGATATAATGTCGACTATCCTATTATGAAAATCAAAATTATGCACTACCGCGCTAGTAATATTTTCAAAAGTCACAAATCCGACTGACGTAGGCTTATATTTTCTATGTTTTCTACCTTGTTCAACCAACTCATCATAAGATTTGAATAGATCCGTATAATAATCAATTTTATCAACTTTTTTGCCGAATAAATATAAACAACCAGTCCGAATTGTTGGACGCTTTCTATGAATATCAATATCTTGAAGAGCCGTAATTTCTTTATTTAGTTCGAATTCATTGAGTGCCTTAATAGGATCATAATCAGGATAATCACAAGGATTGCCCAAATATTCTCGGTAGGCCCTTTCAAGCTCTCTTAAATAATATGTGCGCATTTCAAGTGCGTGTCTTAACTTTCGTACATTCTTATAAACAACTACACTTTCAACCGTACCCAGACCTAATGAATCATAAAATTCAGCAAGCGCAGGTTCTTCTTGTAACTTTTTTGGTAATACGGTTACCATCACAGTTCTCGCACTAATAGTATTTTTCCATTTGCAGTAATAACGATGTCGCATTATTGAAAATTCACGATAATTATCATACGTGAAATAAAATGTTGCAAATGAGAAAACCCAAGTGAATATAGCATATGATAACAGAATTCCATAAGCTTCTAATTCATTTTCAGGTATTCCTATTGGATCATCTTCTTGTAGGTTTTTGCTATGGTTACCAGGCATGTAACCAGTCAACTTTATTGGAGAAAGTATAACAAGTCCGAAAAAACTGCAAAATGCAAATAATCTGTATGACATTACAAAGAATGATAAGAGCTATTAAGAACAAGTTAGTTACAGAGTGAAATTCACTATAGAGTATCCATTAATAGTATATGAAAAAAAACTACATACTACAGCAGCATCCAAGCCTACGAGATCCAAAACCTCAGATTCGGGCATTTTGAATAATGTAACGATCCACCAGAAAAACGAATCAGGAAGAGATTGGGGGGCAAGTCTTTTAAAATAAAAATGATAAGTTTATAGCATATAAAAGGTAGTTTTAGGTATAAATACGCAACGCACCCTTCTAATCGTAAACGGCTCCTCGGTGCAAAAATTGTGCTCCAGCGAGTTCGAAGGAGACAAAATAGCAAAAAGGAAGTTACGCCAATAACAGTTGCGAATATCAGTTGAGTCGTCAAGAAAGTTGTTTTGCCTATTTAACAAACGAAGATTAGCAGGAAAATAGCGTTAACAGCTAATACATATGACTGTATTATGTATTCACCCGTATCATCCTGAATCGGAGATTCTGAGGTGTTAATTCCTAAAGGAAGCTGGTCGGCAACCAACATCTTAACAGAATTGTTCTGTAACGAAGTAAGTTAACTCGGTCAAGTGATACAAATTCTCTACTGAGTTTAATTCATGAATCACGAATCCAGTAAATACTAGATATATAATTCGTTTAAGACAACGAAAATATTACTCCTGACACTGTTGAAGAACATTCATTTACGAGAAAAAAAAAAAAGAACAAAAGAAAAATTTTTTTATATTCTTTAAAATCTGCAGGTTGCCTGTTATGGAATAACTGATAAATGGGCACTTAGATTATCAAATATATACGTATCGGATGGATTGTAATACATCATTAATAATCTATACTAGTCATTGCTAAGCACAGTTATCAATTCCTACATATGCATGCATATGGCTCCATCAAGCAACGCTCGAAGGAAGATCCCTCGAGCTCCATTTACATCCCGATCTATAATTAAATTACAATTTTCATTTATAAATTTTTCTACCACCGATGTTTTGTATATTACCACACCACGAGCAGGTTTTTGAGGTATATGCTTCATCTTGTATGATAATTTCGACACCAGTTTCTTCAGCTTTGGATTTCAGCCTCTGTCTAAACATATAGTGTGACCATGTTAACATACTTCTCACAACCTTGGAGTGGATCTTTCTTTTTTCCCTTTTCACCATGTTACTCACGCCGAATTCCGGAATTATAACCACGTCATAATTTTTAACGAGATAATTTACCGTTTTCTTGTGAAGTTCATTTCTTAAATTTTTAATTTTTTGAAATATTCTTGCAATTGCTTTATCGATCCTCTTGGCCTTTTTCTTTTTTCTCTTGGATGTTGAATTGTTTAACCTGTCCCTCTTGGAGCTTAGTTTGTCAGCGTGATATCCCAATCTTATCAACCTCTGAGAATCGTTTTTACCGATCTCGCTGACACCATTGGTTGGAGAGTACAACACGAACGGGGTTCTCACACCCGGGTCTATCGCTACAAAATTTTCATAAGATTCTTTAGCTCTTATCAATCTTTCATGTATCCATGATAAGAACCATTCATTTGTTTTTCGATGATACGTTAGTTTACAATCTTGTTCAAATGTTAATGGCCATTTATTGTTATTTCTTTTGGCTTCAAAATGGCCAGATCGTAAATCTCTCTTTCCCAAGATTAGCTCATTCGGTTTATTCCTATCTGATATCATATTTTTATTAAATAAATATCTCACGTAAAATTTTCCATGATCTTTTTTTGAAAAATTTTGTGCGCGTATACTAATAGTATGTTTCAGATCTTTCTTTGATTTGTATGATAATGTCGAGCCTTTTTCTTTAGCATTGTAATTTTTGATTGCTTCGTCAACAGACTCATCGATAATATTAATGGGAACTTCATCGTAAACTTTTTTACTTATTTTCAGGTAAGCTATGGTTCTTAGATATTGTGTTTTCGGGAAATTCACGAATCTTTTGGATTTTTTGATAACGTATCGCCTTTCCTGGAGGTAACCGACGATCGTGTTGTATACCAACCTCGACAATCCCATCCATCGTTTCAACATTTGTTTTTGAGCATGATTCGGATACAAACGCACGTTCAACGTCCGACACATGCTCTCGTTAGTCTTTCTCTTCTTGCTCTTTCTAACCATCGTGATCTTTCGTTTTTTTCCCTTCAATTCAGCGATAAGTTCATCTTCCTTGTTTCCAACAGATACCCTCGGACAGCTCACATTCGACGGAAGTCGGATAGTTGAGAAGAACCACGAATTGGTATCACACACAACATCATTCTCGGTGGGTAACCACAATTTCTCCGACAAGACCTTTGCACGATCATTCCAATAAGGTTTGTAAACTTTTGAAGTTGTTTCGGGTTTTATTTTTGTTGCTTTATGAGCAGACAGAAACATTTTTTAACTAACTGTCAAAGAGTTAGGCAATCACCGTAGTGACTGCTATTTACCCCAGACGGTTTATTAATATTATGGTCTCGCTTGGCTTTTAGAGACACACACTCCTCCTTTAACGACGACACACAGTACACTATTTTGCACGCAGGTATTTACTTTAACTATTCGTTTATTACTTAACTAATCCCAGTCGAAAGACCGTTTTAATTCTTTATTTACAATTTGCTATTTAAGCGATTCCAACAATTACATACTTTGTATTACAGTTTAACTATTTCTTCGTTATTAATTAATTAAACTTTTTCATTATCCCCATCCTAATCGTCATATTCATGCACTCAACGATCAAGTTACCTATCGTACCCGATCTCGATTAATCTCCGATACTTCAATTATTAGTATGACCCTGATCGATCACATTATGACGTGAATCGATCGTTCCATATTCCTTAACTGCTTTTACGCTCTTTAACTTACTAATTAGCCCATTATCTATTTGTATACCTTTTACTAGGTATAAGGGCTGTTCATAAACTACGCGACACTAACAAAGATAAAATTTCAAACCTTTTTATACATGTTTTATTTAAAAAGCATTACTAATCAAATAATTAATAAATATATTAATGATCTTATAATTACGTAATTTTTGTCCGAAGCGAAGCGAGGACTTTAGGGATGTTAATGGAGTAAGGTACTCCAGAGTAACTGTGGAGTATAACCCACTCCATACCGGTGTGGTCCAGACAT